GGGTTGGTGGTGGGGGTTGGTGGTGGGGGTTGGTGGTGGGGGTTGGTGGTGGGGGTTGGTGGTGGTGGTTGGTGGTGGGGGTTGGTGGTGGGGGTTGGTGGGGGGGGTTGGTGGGGGGGGGGGGAGGAAAGACGAACCACGAATCGAGTGAAGCTGCTGCTGCCAAGGAAAGAGTGTACAAGAAGCAGGACTGACCAGTAAAAAGTCGTTCTTGTTGAAGGCGGCGACCTCGGGATGCTGTAGTAGTGTGATGACGACCGCCGCAACCCTACCTACCTACCTACCTAGCCGCCAAGACTAAGACTAAATAAGAGCGGAAGAAAAGCAGTAGAGCCAAGCCGTAAAGAAGTAAAGGTAGGTGTAGAGGCGGCGAAAAAGTAGTAGGGTTTGGGGGGTTAGACGTGTTCAAAACACAGTGCCTTCCCCCCTGCACTACCGCCGCTCACCTGCCGCTCACCTCACCTCACCTCACCTCACCTCACCTCACCTCACCTCACCTCACCTCACCTCACCTCACCTCACCTCACCTGTTCGGCACCGTGAACCACCTTTGCGACTCCCGGCTCCTCCAGCAACACACACAGACTGCCCAGTAACGATGTCCCGGGGTCGGCGGCGGCGGCGGCGGCGGCGCCGCCGCTAGACCCCGCTGCTGCCGCCGCCGTCGCCGTCGCAGCGGACGCATCAAAGATATACACCGTCGCGGGAAGGACGCCGCCAACCGGCGGCAGCGCCGCGCCAGTCGCGGCGGCGGCGGCGGCCGCCGCCGCCGGCTTGAGTGAGTCCACGGCCGGCGCGTACAGCAGTACGAGCGCCGGAACGCCGCCAACGCCCTTGGCAGCGAGGCCGATTTGGGGGCAGGAGAGGCAGTGCGACAGCGCCGTCACGTGCTCGGGGCCGTACGGCATGGTGATGATCTGGACTTTGGGATCCGGCAGCAGATCCGGAGGCACCGTCGGCGCCAGCGCCTCCGCCAGCGCGCGCGCCGGTTGCGTCGCCAGGATCTCCGCCACCTCCAGCGCCGCCGCCGGTGACGCCTCCGCCTCTGCCTCTGCCGCCGGCGGCGGAACGGCGCCGATCTGGAAGTCGTACAAGTCGCAGGCGTCGGACCCGTCGGCGGCAAATGCGTTGGCGTCATCATCGGCGTCGCCGTCTTCAGCAGCGGCAGCGGCGGCGGCGGCGGGTCGCTCCTGGGGCCTTGTGGGTTTCATGCCGGCGGAGAGCTCCAGGGAGTTTATGTTGAGGCG